CAAATGATTACTGTAATAACATAAACAATAGTTTTAGCATAAACTACTACTGAATTTGAGAAACTAATAAACTAATGTAGCAACAGCATCATTAGTCTGAAGCAAACTATATCTTCCTTTTATGATGTTGAAATATCTGAGCCAAAAAAAATATTGTGACTATCCAGAAAATAATTTAAAGGCTGAAAAAACAGACTGGAGTCAGAAAACCAACAGAAGTTACAAAGACCACTCCAGGCAGAAAAGGCATCAGAGGTGAGACTCCTGCACTCAGTTCAACAGCACTCTTTCCTCATTTCCTTCTCATAACGCACAAAGCTGCCTATGAGAAAATGGGGAACTAAGTGACATTATAAACAAGGCTATTAACCTGTGAGTTCTAGTAACAAAATCGTTACATAAAGCCCACATTGTGCAAACAGGTCAACCTCTTTATATGGTTAAACTGAAAATCCATGAGTAATTTCAGAACTACTTCAACGACCACGTAAATCAACATGTTTTGTGTTTATGCAAATATAAATATTTAAATTAATGCAACATTATTCTTAGGCCAAAGCAATTTGACATGTCATACAGGGGTATGAGGAAAAAAAGTAGGTTTACTTGCAGCTTTGTGTTTTGTAGTTGCTTTTATTGTTGTAATTAAGGCTGTTTTTTTATTCAACTTTCAACTTTATTATGTCTCTTTAATTTATCACCTCCCACATGTTCTTGGTGTACTGTCTCACAAAGGTCCACACAGATACCAACAGCAAGCACAGAGATCTGTGGTCCTTTAGGAGGAAAAGGCGCTTTTCTAATACTAACAGGTTATACATTTTCTTCTTCCCAATGAAGAAAAGATTTTTTTTTTCCTGAAGGACTTTAAATAAAGGCTAGCATCTTTCAGAACCAATTTTTTGATGTCAAAATATTTTTTAAAAACATCTTAACTGGAATGAATATTATACCAACTATACATAATATGATTTGTTTTGTACAACACATGTGTATAAGGAATAGTCCAGGACTTGGAAATGACATTAATAATAATACAACATCTATATATTACTCTCTGGCACACATATTTTAAAAGCCTTTATTTTCTTCGCAGAGAGGTTATCAAACAGTTATTTTCCACCTTGGTCGACTTCTGGTTTTGTTTCAGTGGTTGCAAACCAGAGTGTGGGAGGGAAAAAATGGGTTGTAGCACTCTGGTTCACTGAAGCAACTCTAAAATATGGAAAATCTGAACATTATCAGGCCATCCCCTCTGAGTGTTCTTAAAAACAATGTCCAACACCAGGCCTTGCACAGTCTGTGTTTAATGGATAACTTTTTATATAAAAGAGTAAATTTTACTATTAAAATGGTCACCTGATGAAACCGCAAGTCAAGTCACTGAAGACAGGCATCTCCAGTATCAACATTTTTCAGCTCTAAATGCCTTCATACCAGTTTTGCTTTTGCCATTTAAACTTTAAGCAATATGATATAAAGTTCCTCCTCTTCTCTGTACTTGAAAGTACAAATTCTCCCTTCTCTACAAGCTCCCCAACCCCCACTCCACACATACACCTCAAAAACTTTGTGTGCCAAAAATCACTGCACTCTTCCCAGAAACACCAGCTCAGAATGGGTTAGACACTCAAGCTGGAGAAACAAGTGACTCAGTGTGAGGTTCAAAATTGTTGGTAGAAAAACAAAAACAAAAACAAAAACAAAAACAAAAACAAAAAATGGAGAAAAGTGAAACTAGACAAGGAAAAGGTTTACTATAAAAATCAAGCAAGGCCTGCCTCTTCCAGAAGTCATTATTCCACCTATTCTCAAAGCAAGAGACTTGTACTATGTGCCTTTAATATTTATTTCAGTAGTGAATAAATTTTTCTAACTATAATTTCTACCTTTTGCCTTCTATTCAGGAAATACATTTCATGCCATTTGCCATATTTACTTTTTTGTTCTTATTTTTATCACATGTATGTTAAATTGCTTTAAAAATTCAGGCTAGTCATATTTTGACCATCAACTAAAACAGAGCTAGTTCAAAACTGATACCTGATTTTTCCCCTTACATTTAAAACAAATCCAGAGCTTATTTTTGATACAATGGGGACATTAAAATAAACATTTTTATTCATGTATTCATCCAGCACAATTTTCTTTAATAAAGTACCAAACACTGGAGAAAATACTGGTGCAGTCACTGAACTCCACATTACTATTTCTACTATCACTGTCCTTCATTTTTAGCAATAATACTAATGTCCTCAATGATATTATTTGCAGAATTAAAAAAAGATTGTTCAGAGAATTTATAATATTCCCAATAATTAGTGTGGCATACATGTTAGATAAGAGTCATTCTACTAAATAGAATACTCTGTTACCTGTTAACTATGATAACATTTTAAGAAGTTTCTTTTATATTCTATAGAGCAAAATACCCAAGAGCTTCACATACAATGGCACACTTTAGCCTCAGTTTGCATTTGGAATCCTAGCGGAATCTGGAAGTGAATGTGTAAAAACATATTACTACTAAAAGAAAGATAAATCAAAAATCCATGTCCTTGTTATGGTGTACCAAGAATGGTACATTATAAACTATGATTGGCTATTTACCAGATGTAAGTGTTGCATAAATACAGCTGGCCACAGAGCACCATCAAAATATGGGCTATGGACAACAGTAAAATCCAATCAGGAATGCTATCTAGCAAAGAAAATAATAACCTTTGTCTTAAGGTCAAATTTAGGAAAGTGACATGTACTTACAACACAGAATTTAAAGAATAGTCTCAACGTAATCAGTTAGCATTATGCAATCTCTCATCATCTACAGATATCTACACACAACCAAAGTTTATACTGTCCCCTATGATACGCTCCTACATAAACCCCCAAAATATCAAAATGTATAAATGAAACAGTTGTTACAAGACATCTAATGAATCAAATAATGTTTCTTGTTACTATAGAAGATATAAAAGTGGGATACAAGTTTACCACATCATATATTACTACATCCAATTAAAACACTGTATCAACACAAATTCCTAGAAGTTACATACCTTCTCACTGTCTTAATACCCTAAAATGTAACAGTTAATGGATTATCTTGCTGTACCAGAAAGAATTTCAGGGCTACTAAATCTGAATAAGGACTATAATGATGTTTCTAAAACAACTTAGTCTTCTTAGGTCAGTCTTCAAACTACAAAATGAAGAAATATCTGGCTTCCCACAATCTTGGCCATTCCTGAAAGGTCTCCAAGAAGAAACAATCACTATGATATGCCTCCATCTTTCTTCCCACTCCTTGTGGCAATCCAAATTCCCCTGGGTGGTCCTAGAAAGAATCTTAGAGCTTTAAAGCTAAAAGGCAATTGGAAGATTCACCACCCTCAAGATGTGTAAATTGTGGTCCAAGAATATTAAGTGATGAACCAGCTAGATAACTGGTTAGACTCCTATGATTATGTTGGTGTTCATCACCAACTTACAGAGCAAATTATAAATAAGTAACACTTTATGACATTTTACATTTGGCAGAGAGTTTTTCTATATTTAGGTTAGATAGATTTACTCACTCTAGGTTGTTTTATGGACAACTTCAGAGTCCGCATACCTAGATAACTGAATTTTCTCTTACAAAAACCTATGTTTCATTAGGCTAGTTTTTCCAATCTGAAAGGAACATTACAGGCTTCTTATAAATTTTCCTATATATAAAAGTAAACTAAAATCCAGAGGTTAAGTATCTTAAAGTGAAGCTCAGCTTAACTATGTTAACATATTATATATTTAAATTAATACCATATTTGTTTTTTAGTTTAGAAATTTAAGTAAATTATCACTGCCAGTGAATACTCTAGATATATTTAAAATATCCCAGAAATAAAAAACTATTATTTTATTTGGTTTAAGGTAGATCACAAAATTTAAAATTGAATTAGCCAAACAACAAACTTCGATGAGGAGTTTCTAAGTCAAGAATTATAGCTACAAAAATAAGGAGTCGGTTGATGTCACTTCAGTCTCTGCCACCTCGGCCCAGTTTCTCACTTTACCGACAAGTACGAGAGCCCAAACTATCGTACATCTCCCACCCACATCCACCACACCCACACATTCATTCCCTCAGGATCTGCCTTAAAGACAGTGTCTCCAGTATCAAATACTGGTGGATATGAAGCAATGGGGAACCTTCATTCATTGCCTGCAGGAATGTAAAATGTTATAGCCACTTTGGAAGACAGTTGGGGAGTTTCTTACGCAGGTACACAGGATTACCATAGATCAAGCAATCATGCTCCACAGTATTTACTCAAATGAGCTAAAAGCTTATACCTACACTAAAACCTGCATATGAATATTTATAGCAGTTTTATCAATAATTGCCAAAACTTGGAACCAAGATGTCATCAACAAATAAGTGAATAAACTGGTAGGCCCTTGTAATTAGTATTACTCAGGGATAAAAATAAATGAGCTATCAAGCTGTTGTTAAGTGAATGAAGCCGGTCTGAAAGTATTACATTACACGATTTAAACTATATGACTCTGTAATAAGGCTAAACCACAGAGAGCTACGTTATTTTTAAAGCACTGAATCCTAATATAAACATGAACTTTAGTTACTAATTCTGCATCAGTAAAGATCATCAACTGTCACAAATGTAGCACACTGCGCAAGACATTAACAATAGGAATAACGGCATGTTGAGGGGAAAGGGTATATGGGAACTCTGTACTTTCCACGTAATTTTTCTGTAAATCTAAATATGCTCTAAAATATAAAATCTATTAAAAAAATAAGAACACTATCTCACAAACTAGCTATTATCATCACTTTATGTAAAACTAGGTTTAAATAATGTGAAAAGTGCATGTACAAATGAAATGACATTTCCCCCAAAACAAACATGGTGATGTTCATGCTACCTACAAAACAAAAAGCAACAGAGATGACCGTAATTAACTCCGAGACATAAAACCTGAAATATCCTTACCTGTCCTGCGACTGCTCTTCATACATCCTTTCCTTGCCTTCTTTAAAGAGTCTTATGGCCCGTTTTGACTTTTTCATTAGACTATCAATGTAGATTTTAAAGTACTCATTCTCACTGAGCTGGGCAAGTTTCTGGTTGTCGTCATATTTACTCAGTATAAGTCGCAAATGCTGATAGGTATCAGGTAAAATATCAAGTATATATGGTGGGCTGTTTTTCAATTGAAGTTTGGGATTTTGACACAGTCTGACCTAAAAACAAAGACAAAAATAAAACATTTCATATGAACCACAATACATTCTTTCAGAGAAAAACTGAGAAACTTAGTAATCTATGTACTATTTCTTCACTTTCCATAATATAAATTTTGATGTTAAAATTATTAACAACAATCTGAAGAGTTGACAAACACCTGCATCTATCTTAATACAATTAAATCCCATTTTCTCCTCCTCCCACATTCAGTGTTTCAAATTGAACTCATTGGGGCGACACTGGTTAATAAAATTATATAAGTTTCAGGGGTACAGTTCCATACAGCATCATGTGTGTGCGGCATCATGTGTTCATCAGCCAAGTCGTCCATTTCCATCACCGGTAACTGTCCTTTTACCCTCCTCTACCTCCGCCCACCTGTCTTTCCCTCTGGTGACCACCATTCTGTTGTCTGTGTCCATAAGTTTGTTTTTGCTCAATTTTTCTTACATCATACCTTTACTTTCAATCCCTAAGATTTTGTTTTTCTTTTACAATGTCTTACTGTTCATGGTTTAATAGAACTTCAGGGTGCTAATTATTGTATACCACTAAATCACTACTTTAAATAAAAGTGAGGAAATGAGCCTCTTCTACTGGTAACCACTGTCTCATATTTATGCATTATTTTACTACACTGAACTCCCAGCTAAAATGCTATCATTGATTTTTTTTCTGAGTTTTCTTTAAGATTTTATTTATTTATCTTTAGAGGGAAGGGAAGGAGAGAGGAAGAAAAATATCAATGTATGGTTGCTTCTCCTGCGTCCCCTGCTGGGGACTGGCCTGCAACCCAGCCATGTGCCCTGACTGGGAATCGAACTGCAGTTGTTTGGTTGGCAGGCCCATGCTCAATCCACTGAGCTACACCAGCCAAGGCTTGATTTTAAAAATGTGACAGCTCCTGCTGAAAATGAATAACCCTACACCAGGACTATGCCTTCTAAGCAGGTCAAATTCAATTCAATTCAATAAATATTTATTGAGTGCCTGCAATGTGCAAGGAACTGTGAAAGCCAGGGAAAGAAAAATTGCTTTTCAAAAAGCAGTATATTAAAGAAAAAAATCAAGCTCACCACAAGGTTCAAGTTCTGATACAAGCAACTTAGACCTCTTCTGGAAATACGTAAGTCACTCCCTAGAATAAAAGTTGCTCCCAACCCAGAAGAGCTTATATAAAAAAACCAATCTCAGTCACATAATATAATAATAAACTTCTTAGGGCACCAACTGGTACATGAAGAGATTGGTTCATTAGCAATGTTACTCTTTGATTTTGAAATAAAAAGCAAAACAGTACTGGAATTGGGCTAAAAATTCAACAATAGTCACTGACTCAAAAGGATTTTACAGCTACCTATAGATGACCTTGGAGATCACCAAGACCCACTCCCTCCTTTTGACATGACAATACTAAAATAGAGAAATGGAACTCAGCTCAATTTACTGCTCAGAACTCAGATGTCTAGACTTAGGAGTCAAGCACTCTCTCTATACATTATATAATTGCCTTGGTGTGTTTATTTAAAAGTATTTAAAGATATTTAAGCAGAGCTCTCTATATTATAATGTATGCACTGTGTGACACACATAAAATATATGTCTAATCTACACAGACTATATATTTCAGAAAATATATGAATCTGTATGTGCATACATTATATACTTATAGTAAACCATACCAAAGCAAAAGCACAAATACAACCAATATACTAGAATTTTCAAAGCCATCAATTATTCTTGGAATACTCTTATGTTTAAAGAATTTCCTGACTCTGCCTTAATTAAAATTTCCAGCCAAAACATAACAAAAAGGTATTAGATCACCTAACATATTTCTTGCAAACAAGGTTCAAACCAGCCCCTAAAATGTATGAAAGAAAGTCTACTGAAGTAAATGGAAACTTCATCATCAAGGGGGAATTGCATCTACACTATAGCAGACTTTCATTATGAAACACACCTCACTTCATGGAACATTTAGTTATATGAAATCAAGAAATGTACCCATGAAGCAAAATACCCCATTTTTAAAGACAATACCCAAACCCTGAAGGAATGCCTTGTCTCTGCTTCCCATGCCAATCTTGTAAGAGGTTCCTTACTGCAGTCACATAAAAGTACATTATCATGATAAAATGCAGCTATGAGTAGTTTGGGTTCCTTCCATGTGAAGCTGGCAAATCCTCACTAAGTACAAAAGCCCAAAAATATATAAAATATAGAAATGTAAAAAGTATAAAAATAATACAAAACTCTACATAGAATATCAGTTGGACAAAACAAGAAAGATAGGATATAAAACTGGTTATGAATCTAACTTATTAATTATAGTAGGATTTGGAGGAAGTGTCTTTATTAGATATATATAGGAAGCACCACGGAATAACTGACTGGTTGTAATTAAAATGTCAACTGTGTATTCAATTGTTCACAATCTTTCTTCCAAATAAAAACGGAACTTCCTTAAGGGTGGAGAACATATCTATATCACTGGTCTATCTCCATCACCTAATGTACAATCTTGTGTATAAATGTGCAATAAATACTTGATGAAGGGAAGGAGGAGTAAAGGAACAAAGGAAGACCTACTTGGAAGCAGGCTAATAATATGAATAGGAAGTCTGTGATAGACTGAATAAACGTGTCTAAAAATTGAGTGCAAAATTTGGAAAAGAATTTCTCATATCAAATATAGGGGGTAAAGATGCTTTTGACTTTACTACTCATGGAAAGAGGCCAAATCACATTACTCCATGGAGCACTGTACTGCAATCTGCATACTAGGAACACAGGTATTAGAATCACTCAAACCTAGGAGAGAGCCCTGCCATTTACTAGCTTTACAACCTTGAGCCAGTTTCTTCTTCTAGAGACCGCTTAGGATGTTCTAATTCTTAGAAGAGAAAAAATAAAGTGCTCTGCACAGAACCTGGCACATAGTTGACACTTGCTACTCTTCACTATTTCTTCTCCTTACATAGTTTATTTGTTTGTTTCACAGGGCTGTGGTCAATCCACTGAGGTACACCAGCCAGGGCTTTTACATAGTTTATATTATACCACAACATGGCAAAATCCCTGCAGGTTTTGCAAATGTATGAGAATTAGACCAAAGGTACTGACCATTTTATTGATCATTAAGAGCTCTTTTACTTCCTGAAATTTCTTCACAGTACCTGAAACTCTTTGAAAGTATGAATGCTGGTGCAGGAAAGCAACAAATAAAGCTAATAAGCCCAAGGCAGTCCTCCAGAGTACATCCTTGTAGGAGAACTTACAATAGATACAACTGGCTCCTACAGCAAAAGCATTTGGGAAATGCTGGACTCTTAACTCTCTGCAGCCTCAGGCTTGGCTGACTACTCAGAAAATCGGAATTCACCCAAAGATAAACACCGTGCCCCCAGGAAGGAGACTAGCAAATGTATACAGTGGGATGACTACCTGATGCTATCTGTTAGCTTAGGAATGCATTGTTCTTTCTGGTGGTCCACATGAGGACCCACTACATGGTTTCACTATTAACCCCCTACAAAAAGGGATCTTGTCCTGGGAGGGGTGTGGATTCTTTCCACCAGCCACACTGGGAGCAGCTGCTCTGCCCCAGTGTATGTAAATTTCTCCTATTAAAGCCCTTATGAATTTGAATGAGCCTACCTGTCAGTCTTTGGAACCCTTCCTCAATTTAGACTACTGGGGCTTTTTCCCAACAATGCTGACATAAAAATTTTTAACAGGTAACACATGTAATTTAATATTTATTTGTGTTATTGCTACTGGAAGATAATATGAGTGAGCTTAACAATTATTTTAGTAGTAACATGTTAAAGAGCTAAAAGTTTAGTCAGATATTCAGATATTTTCAAAATGCTTTTATCATTACTAGGAAAAAAACAGCAACTTAAAAATATATATTAAAAAATTTAAATACTTAAATATATGACTAAGCAGAGTAGATAAAAATAGCACCCTGGCATCATTTAAGTCACAGTATGTTTCTAAGACGATCTTAATGTACAAGTTGAGAAGTGGTTTCCATTTTAATGTTTTACTTATTTACTAAGTTATTGCTAGAAGACTGATTAAAATATATAGCATTTATTCTATAACATACAATTTTAAAACATGGTATAAGCATTACAAATGTTATATCTTAAACCACTTCCAGCAAACCCAACATAAAATTTACAAACCCCCTCGAAAGTTCTGTTTATTTTCTCATTCTCCTTTTGTCTAATCAGAACTTAGTGATCTACCAAAAGTTTAGTCTTTTACATGTTCTTAGCCTTTCCCTCCCACCCTTGTAATTGATGATGCCAATTTATCTATTGTTTCTATTTCTGTTACATCTGAAGTCATTCCCTCCCTATACTCCTTCTCCACAATCAACTAAGGTCTCCGATAGCACCCCCCACACAGTTATGCTCTACTCAAACCTTTAAGCTATCACAACTTACTTCGTCTACTAGTTGTCAAAAGTTTAAAACAATTTTTAAATATTCCACACATTCTTTTTAATCTAGCCCCATCTCCTAAGAGAAAGTACTCAAAAAGACTAACAGTGGTCTCTAATCATGAAATTCAGTGACTTCTTAAATTTTCATCCTACCTAGTTTTCTCCACTTGAATTTGACTTTCTACAAATTTGAAACGACCTTATTGAAGCTGTCTCTACCCAAGAAATCCAATGCTCCAATTCTTTTCCTACCTCTCTCACCACTGTTGAGAGATTCTTTTTCCTTCACTGCCATCTAATTACGAATACCACATGACACAGCCAAAAATTCAAATCCCTGACTTTTTCTCTGCCTCTCACCTTCCACTCTGCCTTGCAAATCTCTTGCTGTTCTATAGCCTGACATGCTACCTCAACGGGCATATCCACCAAACATGTCTCTAGTTTCAACTTCTCTCTTAAACTACCCAATTTTCTGACTTCAAAATGCATTTCATTCTGATGGACACAGGTAAGGTGGGCCAGAGACTTGGTGAA